AACACTAACAACAACAACAACAACATCGACGACAACAACAACAACTACAACAAACAACAAACAACAAAAACAATCAACAACAACAACAACAACAACAACAACAACAACAACAGCAGCAGCAACAACAAAAAAGAAAGACATCCAACAACAACAACAAACAACACAACACAACAAACAACAAACAACAAACCAATCAACAAACAACAAACAACAAACCACAAACAACACACAACAAACAACAATCAACAAACATCAAACGGCAAACAGCAAACAGCAAGCAACAAACAACAAACAACAAACACAACAACAAACACAACAACAAACACAACAACAACAACAACAACAACAACAACAACAACAACAACAACAACAACAACAACAACCACAACCACAACCACAACCACAACCACAACCACAACCACAACAACAACAACAACAAACAACAAACAACAAAGAACAAACAACAAACAACAAACAACAAACAACAAACAACAAACAACAAACAACAAACAACAAACAACAAACAACAAACAACAAACAACAAAAAACAAACAACAAACAAACAACAACAAACAACAAACAACACACAACAAACAACAAACAACAAACAAACAACAAGCAACAAACAACAAACAACAAACAACAAACAACAAACAACAAACAACAAACAACAAACAACAAACAACAAACAACAAAAACAAACAACAAACGGCAAACAGCAAACAACAAACAACAAACAACATCCAACAACCAACAACCAACAACCAACAACCAACAACCAACAACCAACAACCAACAACAACAACAACAACCACAACAACAGCAGCAACAACAACGGCAACAACGGCAACAACGGCAGCAACAACAAGGTGACGGCGCTGTAACTGACCGCGCTGTGTTTTTAACCCTCGTACATCTGACCCAAGCTGCTTTTGCTCAAACTTGAGACAGCTCGCCCCAGTGCGTGTGCAACACTGCGCCAGTGCATGCTATCACGGCATGCCACTTGCTTTGCAAGCTTGCAAGTCGCTGACGCGCGTTATTACGTTATTATCCCCACCCCACACCACCCCCCCGTCACCCTATATTTCTGTGAGGAAATATGCCAAGCGCGTTTGTTGACCAAGTCATGAACAGTCACAAAACGATGCGTTTTCTGAGGAAGTACGCCTACTGCGTTAGTCGACAGTCATGAACAGTCAGAAAACTATTCGTTTTGTAGGGAATATGCTAGGTGCATTAGTTTGTTGTTTCGTTGGCAAAGTCATGAACAGTCAGAAAACCATGCGTTTTCTGAGGAAGTACGCCTACTCCGTTAGTCGGCAAAGTCATGAACAGTCAGAAAACCATTCATTTTGTGGAGAAATATGCCAGGTGCATTAGTTGTTGTTGCGTTGCTTTTGGTTAGTGGGAAGTTGACAAAGTCATGAACGGTCATAAAAACCCTGTGTTTTGCAGGTGAAACGTGGCAAGTGCGTCAGTTGCTGTTGCGCTGCTGTTGGTGACTGCGTCATGTTGACGAGTTAAACAAAGTTATAAACATGTCAAAAAATGAAGAAAAACCACGCGGCCAGATATGACGCCGTTACCAACGACAACAAGAACAACAGCAACAGCAACAGCCACAGCAACAATACCAGCAACAACAACAACAACAACAACAACAACAACAACAACAACAACAACAGGAACAGGAACAGGAACAGGAACAGGAACAGGAACAGGAACAGGAGCAGGAACAGGAACAGGAACAGGAACAAGAACAAGAACAACAACCACAACGACAACGACAACGGCAACTGTAACGACAAAAGCGGCAACAGCAGCATCAGCAGCAACAACAACAGCAACAACAAAAGGTACTACTTCAGCTTGACCTGCTCTGATACCACTACTGCTAGTGCTTTTACGATGGCTACCCGCGACGCACGATTTCTGCAAACGCTGCAATTTCATTGACGAACTGGAAAGGCTTTCCACTCGAGCTGTGAAAAACGGATCTCGCGCACATGTTCGAGCTGAATAGCCGTGACGTTCAAGCCGGAGCTTCTTGTTGGTGCTGCATGAAGCCACACTGCCTGGAAATCGACAAGGGACTCATGACTTCTCAAAGGAATACAGGCAACGCAAACAACATTGCTAGATCACGCTTTGTCCTCTCATCCCTTTGCCCAAGAATATGAATATTTGCTGACAAGCACGGCTGGTTCTTGACTGGAGACCAGCCAGAAATCAGAAAGCCAAGGCTGCCATCGATGCAGCTTGGGCAGCAGTTGTGCAGACAATGATGTCACCTGAAAGGGTTGTGGTTGACCAGTCAGGGGTCAGGCCATGCCATGCTAGGTGCAAGGCCAGTTTTCCTCAGCAGAGATCACGCACCCTGTTGCCAACTTGCAGAGTGTGGGTGCATTGAGGCACCAAGCATGTTGCAGTCCAAGAAGGATGCGGATCTCGTGTTCTGAGTAGTGCAGAACAACGGATGCCACCAACAGCAGTCAGTCAGCTGCCTTTTTTAGCTATGGGATAGATATTCGAAGTCAACGGCAGGCATATGTGCACATATTGCTACACGGGCTGCGTAGACACGCTTTACAGCCGATGTTGAACCTATTTTGCGTTACTTCGCTTTAGCAGTGAGCACGTGCTGGCTGAGTTTGCTCTAGGCCCATGCTTTCAGAGCGGGCACTGCTCCGTTGCTCGCGATGTTTTGGATGATATTTCGACTGAGCCAGAGCAAGCGCCGGTTATCAAAGGAGCCGCTCGCACGTTGTGTGCGATATGGCACATCTTCCCGATCATCTTCCCTGTTGAATCACCTGATCACCTGGGTTGCAAATGCAAATGCCTTGAGGTGTTTTCATTTTGAGCGCAGTTTGATTCGACAAATGCTTTGTGCAAGGGCTGGCCGGAGACATCTGCGGTCAGCAGCACCCTCCTAGCTGAGGCAGGTGGGAACCAGTTGTGCTCCAGTGAGAACAAAAAAACAACCGAGCTATATGATGACGTCTCTACTGCTTTGGCTGTGCTGCAAATTGTTCATTGCAGGCGGTTGAGGCGTGCACAGCGGCGGCTGGTGCAGATGCCAACTACATCCTTGAGGCACGTTTCGTGCACATCGTGAGCCACGCTGCATAGTCGACAGGCACGCTTGGAGATGGAGTGGCGCTCGACAGTAGGTGCCTGTGGGACAAAGTGGGGTGCAGATGCGTGCCGTGTACGGGACAAAGTGAGGGCTGAAGAGAAGATAGAGATGGGCCTTCCAAGGTGGCCAAGATGCCGAGTGGTTTCCCGCATGCCAGCTGCCGGTGCTTCAAGATAGAAAGGGTTGAACCACCAGAAAAGCTGTTTCAAGGAGGATGCAGATTTCCTTTACACACCTCTCCAAACGACAGGAATGCAAGCAAGATAGTTTGAGTATGCGTTGGCATGTAAGTTTACCACACGCAATCTGCAGACACCCATGGAAATAGCAGGAAGAAGGACAACTGTTCCGATCCCTGAGCACGCTCATTTTGCCACGTACCAGGTGCCTGAGACATGGCCAAACCGAAACGCTACAGAACCCGGAATGCCAGAGATTCAGAGTTTGTCCGAAAGCTTGGGTGGCAAGCAGATTCACCAACATGACTTGAAGATAGAGACAATGATTGGGATGTTGCCGTGCTCTTCTCCAGCTGAAGCCCAACATGACGATCCCCAGAAGCCTTGAGCGGAATACATTAGCACGCTCAACTAGCGCTTGCAGATTGAAAGTGTGGTTTAAAAGGCAGGCTTGCTTGGGTTATATAAGCCCGATTCATTGCAAGAAATCGTGTGAGCCCAGCAACCCGAGCGCTGCCATGCTTTGTGAGCAATGAGTTTCTAGAGGTTGAAGAGGCCTCGCTGTTCAGGCCTGGGTGCAAGCGCGGCAGCTGGCGAGATTCGGCTTTTTGCCGCAGAGCTGTGTCTTGGCGGTGATGGCTTCCCACTCCCCAGCGACCAATCCTTGTATCGCAAACATACGCTTGGTAAACATTGGAAGTCGATGCTTTCTTGGACTTGAGGCGGCCGCGTCAGCTGCCCAAGGCAAGCTGCAGTCAGAGCTTGAACACTTTGCTCTAAAGCCAGGACAGTTGGCTGGCCCAGCTCAACTCCCGTGAAGCAGAACTGGGGTATGGCCGCGCTGGCCTCCGGCCGGACTTGGCTTGCGACTCGTGAACCACCCGTCAGTGCCGAGGCGCAATTCCCAGCAGCATCGCCACGTTGAGCGCTACAATAAATGATGAGAACCGAAGGCAGGTGCCACTAGCTCCATAGCCGGCTGGAGCACGGTGCACGCTACCCTTCCAGGCCACCACCAATACCTGCCAGCACCCCAACAATTTAGAATGTAGAAAGGAGCTGGGGATGCTTGTGTAGCTCAGGTTGCAGAGCCATTAGTCTTGAACAGCCACGAGGACAGGTTTGCACGAAGGCACATGCGGAATGGACTGCGAGATGCCGGGTATTTCAACATTTGCACTCTGCCGTGTTAGTGTGCAACAAAGGAGGGCACGATTCTCTTCCTCCGCTTTAGCTTGTGTGCCAGCCAGGGGCCTAGTTTGGCAGGGCTGCCTCTTGTATGCTTGATGACCGCACGCCCTGCTCATTCTGCGGTGTGCCCGCTGGCTCATGTAGGTCGTGATGTGTATCCAGATGCAGCGGAGGCGGTGGAGTCTGTTTTGCTGTCCCCGGAGCTAGATCGAGCATGCTTGCGGTTGAGGTAACGCCGCGCGGGATGTTGGCTACCCCACGTTTAAATGCCCCAGAGGCAGGGACCACACAAAAGAAGCTCCAGCAGTGCAGCATCAGGTCCTATAGCATGTATACAAGGTCCCATTCTACTGGATTTAGCCTGGTGTGCCAGGCTTCTTGGATAGTTCCCCACATCGTCTTTGTTTCCTCTGGACTTCTTCACACGCGACTTCCTTCAACAGGGGCGCAGGAAGCTCAGCTACGTTCGCGCGGTCTTTCGTCGCGCAGAGTTTCCATAAGGTCAATAGGAGACTTAAACCCTACCCAGCCAGCTGCGGTTTCTTGACCACAGTGGCGTGTTGAATCCAGGACGCTAGAATACTGCAAGAAGCTTCAGACGGTGGGCCATCCTTGGCTTCCCCTGCGTTTGTTGACATCATCAACTGGCAACGAAGTCTTGCAGGAGCATTGCCAACCGATGGCACTCCAAGCCAGGCAAAGTGAGTCGCCCAGGTGGTGTGCGCAAATGCCGGCCGCAAGCTTCTTTGGAGACGTGGCTGTGCTCTTAATGATGCATGGCTGTAGTCGCGTCTTGTGGTTGACACTGTCTTGCTTGTGCGACTGCAAGGTTCCGATATGCACTTGTGCCCGCCTTTGCGATGCTCAGAGGGCTGGCCTCGCGTTGCCACACGCCCAGCTTGGGATCTCTCATGGCCATTCCAGTCGTGCCTTACATGGTCAATGCTTGGGTGGACTGGTGTGACCGTTGCTCGTTGCTTTGCTATGTTTGAATCACAGCTAGGGGAACCCGATCCAGCACAGCATGCTGGTCCACATGAAAGTTGGATGAAGCTGGTCAGACTGCATAGAACGGCGCAAACATGTACTCAAACACGCCGAAGAGCTGGCTTCCAAGTGAGCTGGACCACTTGCGCTGGCATCATGTGCCATGGACGCGTCATCCACTGCCTGGCTTGTGGAGGGTGCAGAGGTGGAGCGAGAACTCGATGATATCGGCACCCTGAATGGCTTTGTGAGCATGATGCCATGTCAAATGGCAGACTGCATGGCATGCTTTTTGCCATGATCGAATTACCATAGCCTTGCCCAGGCAACATATGGATCGGTGGCAGGATCACAAGGGTGAAGGACGGGCGACAGTTGCCCGCCTGAATTTGGCGCTACCGTTGTGTCGCACTTTCAGCCTTTGCTGCATCGTGTGTCGTGCATTGGTTCAATTCAAGGCTGGTCGATCTTGAATACTTGGATGGCTCTGCCGAGCTGGGCGTGCCCCTGTCGGATGTGCGGCCGCTCCTCCCCATGTTCACACCTCCTGTGCGACAGAGTCCTTCGGCAACGCGCTTAGACAGTTTGAATAGTCGCAGGCGTCCCGTAGCCATGTGTCCTTCAGGCATGGCAAGATGCAGCAGATGTTTCATAATGCTTCAGGCGCTAATTTGTTTCAGCAGGCACCAGCTCCTCCAGCTCCTGCTGATCCACCTCCGCCTGCTCCGCCTACAGTCACGAGCTCAGGGTTGTTGGCTTGCATCGGTCAATGCATCCTTTCCAATGGTACACCTTGCAGCCTTGCAGTCAGGCTCCAAGCGCCCCTTCGCGTACGGTGTCCTTGAGGGAGCGCATTGCGCAGCTTCGAGAAGAGACGGGAACGCTGGCCAGCCAGTTGCACGCAGATCATGGCCAGTATCACGTGCATTTGCCTGTTCACACCATGTCTGTCAAGGATAAGAACGTGCAGAATCTTCGGGAGCGCCAGGAGCAGCTAAGCGCACTCATCATTACATACAAATCGATCCTCGCTCGTTGTTTGTCCTTTTTGAGTGACTCGCAGGATTCTGGGCTGGCCGCTTTACAATTTGCGAATGAGAGTGTTGCCGAAGCTCGGTCTGGCCTCAACCAGAGCATGCTCAGTGCTGAGGGGTGTGGCTTGGCATGTGGGTCCATACTATTGCGCAGCCGAGTCTGGACCCACAGCTTGTATTGGTCACGATGCCGCCCATGGACAATTTAGCAGGTGACTGACTTGCTTGCTCGCTTGTTTGCTTGCTTGCTTGCGAGCTTTGTTCCCTTCCTGCTTATTAACATGATGCAACTAGAATAGAATAACTAGACAAAAACACTTTTTGAGCAACTTGGCGCAACAACTGGTCAGACCCCACTTTGTCAAGATACGAGAACGAGTGAAGGGCGTTCCTGCTCCCATTGGGATCGTCTTTGGCCTCAAGGCTACAAGACGGACAAGCAAAACTTCCTTTTTTCATGAAGATCCTGTGCACGACCCAGGTCTGCTTGGCTTCTTGGCACTGAAAACCAAGGCCTATCGGAGATCCAGGACTTGGTGCGCGAAGCCAAGATGATCTTAGGGGAAGTGGCTTGCAGCGCGGGCTTCCGTGACCTCGCAGTGCTGGAGCGGCTTCGGGGCCCAAACTCGAGCGAAGCTGGGCACCAGGTGGAGGGCCATGAGCTGATCCAGGCGTGGATGCCGACGCCTGGATCCGGAGGGCGGTGCGCCATATCTTCCACACTTCGCTTGAGCGGCTATCCCTGGCCCAACGTTTTGGAGACCGTGGTGGTTTGGGTCCATCATCACCGCAGCCTCGGTTTCGCTCCTATCATCCTCTTCCTGGATGAGCCCGATCCTGATAAGGCGAACGCCCTTCAGTCAGCTTTGGCTGGGGTGGACGTGGTGCATGTGCTGAGGGAGGCAGAGATGAGGGCAGCATGGCGCGATCATGGGGCCTTGTTTGAAGAGTTCGGCAACCAAACCACCACAGAATTGTCTGCGAAGCTCAGCTGCAGTGAGGTCTCCAGTGCGAAGTTGGATGTTAGACTTGTAGGCCTGTAAGCCATAGGGGGCCTTGTAAGCACTGCGGGCAAGTCAGGAAGCAGATCCTAAATACAGCCACCGCTGCCCGCCTTTGTGGTGATGTGCCGTGGCTTTTGTGCAATCTCGATCTGGATGAGGCAATGTTCTTCACAGGCGGTGGCGTTGCGCAGCATTTCGGCGACGTCCCAGCCAATACGTCACAGATTGTGTACATAAATCATGAGGCAATTGTTCCCGAGAACCCGGGCAGAACTTGGTTTGAACAGATGGGGCACTTCAAGCTTTCACCAATAACAAAGCTGCCCTTTATATCCCGAAAGTTTCCTGCAATTGATGAAGAGCCACAAATTCTCGAGCATCCTGATGGGACTGGAGATGCGACGCTTCGCTTTTGGCAGGGCCACAATTCCCGGCTGTCTGAGCAATACAATTTCAAGAAGCGGAGCAGCGGTGGCACATGCTCTTACTTCGATGGGTACACGAGGGGCAAAGTCGCCGTTCGCATCAATGCCTTGGCAAATGCCGTGCCTCGGGTGCATCGTTGGCAGCCTACGGATCTGAACACCATTGTGTGCCACCCCGGGGCGGCGTCGATTTTGCACTACATCAATTGCGGTGGCTTGGACTGGTTCGAGGCCAAGTATCAAATCCGCGGCTCAGAGGAGGCCAATCGACTCTGGTTTCACGTCCTGGCGCAAGAGCGTGCCAAGGTGGGCCGGAGCGCACTGAGGGAGCTCTATGATGATGTTCTCTCAATTCCGCAAAAGGACCTCGAGTTGCAGGTCTCGGAAGGCTTTGCGACTACCTGGAGCTTGGCAGAGGGACCGCAGCCCGGCCTGTTCCAAGAATTCTGGGGCTGGGCCTGCATCGGGCTGGGCGGGGGGCTCTTTGTTCACATGCCCTTGGCGTTCACGCCGAGTTCCAATGCTTGGGTTCCACGAGCACGTCCAACAGTGCCCGTCGCAATGAGTCTCGGGCAATCGTTTGAGGGTCATCTGCCTGGTGAATCAGAAGCAGCAGCATTTTGCCTTGAGTTGCCAGCCGGTGAACGTGGCTGCTTAATGCTGGATGTGGTGTTGACATCGCAGCCACCCTTTGATGGCGGTATCTTCCTGTGCGTTTCGGATGCTGCTGCCACTGACACGCCGAATTTTCGCTGGGTTTCCCCTATGTCCGGTGCAGACTCTTTGGGATGGCGCTGTCAAATTCTTCCACATCTTTTGCCAGCGTGTGCCACCGTTTCAGTGTGGCTTGGAGTCGGGATTAGGGATGACCCACCCATCGCACCCTGCAGCGTTGATGGCTCAGTTGCCTTTCAACAGCTTCTCGCTGACTTTGGTGGCGGCGCTCCCGCCAATCACTACACAGCTCATCTCCACTTTGAGCCCGAATTGGCCAAGCTGCGCCCCGAGCTGCATCTAGCTTATTCCATCTTCCATATGGCATACCAGGCGCTGGACGGACAGGCACTTGCCAAAACATCGGCCTGTCGCAATCTTGAGCTGACCTATGCGGAGGTGGAGTTCGCTCCTTTCGTGGAGCTTCTAGAGCAGGTGGCGCAGCCACAGCCAGGCCATGGCCGCAGAAAAAAAACACACCTTCAGCCGCCTCCTGTGTTCTTGTTTTTTGGTGTTGACTTTTGACCGATTTGGTTGAGGAAGGCGCCACACATGTTGGAAGTTGCCAGCTCAAGCGCCCAGGAGAGACTTTCCTGGACCTTGGCAGTGGCACAGGGCGTGGTGTTCTGGCTGCCGCAATGGCATTTCCGTATCTGAACCGCTGTGCAGGCGATGGGTGCATCATGTTTGGGTTCCTTGCAAACTCTTGGGAGCTTCCACTGCAGGCTATGAGATCTCAGAACCTCTTCATGTGTCTGCGGAGCAGGCTTCCGCCATGTGCAGGGAGAAATGTGCCGCTGCTGGGACGCTTGACGGCATCCCGAAACAAGGTTGCTTCAAGCCGAAAAAGTACCACACAACGAAGGGGGCAAGCGAACTGAAAGAAGCTTGAATTAACGGGAACACATACATGCGTGGAAAGGGCAGCTACTCAGTTTTGGCCGGGAGGTTGTAGACGTTCTTGAAGGTTTGGAGACAGAAGGCTTGTTGGAAATTGCCATGTGTCTCGTTTGCTGCCGAAGGCAAGCCATGGCAAATGTTGATCTGCGGCTAGCAAGCTTCACTGGCGAAGCTTGGGAGGGCGACATCATTTGGGTGGCCTCTTTGTGCCTCAGGCTTGACATGACGACCATTGTCCGGACTGGGCGAGTCATTTCTGCTTGAAGGCCGGAAACCATCGCAGATGTGCGCCAGCGAGCGCTGGCGCTGCCTCCAGGGGCTCGGATCCTGTTACGGCCCTACTTGACACTGATTGACATCAATTGGCGGAACTTGGTCTCACATGCTCACATGTACCTGTGCATTTTGCATTTGGAATGGTTGTTTCGGTTTGGGACCAGGACCATGGATCCGTCCTTCGGGGATGGCGTGCACGGCTTTCAGCCCATCTTCTTCAACGGTGCGCTGGCAAATTTGGGAAATCTAGACGGCTGGGCTGCCCCTGAGGTTCTAAAGTGAGTTGGTGCACCTAAGTTGTTGGAGTTCCCTGTGAGACCCCGGAGGAGCTACAAAGATTCCGGTGGAGATGAGCTTCGGCAGGGCAAGTGTTTTCGCCGTGCGACGCGTGTGAAAAGAGCCGTTGAGCTGTGCAGCGATTTTTGCCTGCTCTGAAGACACCTCTTCGATTGCCGAGGCCACGTGAACCTCAGCGACCACCTGACCTACCCACCCCCAGAAATGCAGAGCCCATGGCAGAGCACTCAGAGGCCAAGCTCAACACATGCCAATGCCAAGTCTCTGAGGCTCAAGTCGAAGAACCGGGGCTGCGCTCGGTGCGGAGACCCCAGGATGTACGTAGACTGCCGCCGCGGCCCTTCCACTCCAAGTGCGCACATCGCGCACCTTTTTCGCTTCGCCAGACTTCGTTGGACCAGCCTGGAGATGGCTGCGGCTCACAGGTATCTTGCCAGACCTGCGTCTGATTCGCAGCTGCCAGCCAACGCGCTTGCTGGCTAAGTGCAGATTAGACCCCCAACTTACAGGTGAAAAGCACCTAGCACAATGCATCAGCAGGATTTCGCTGTCTTAGTTACTGCCCAAGATGGGCGGTCTTCAATGTGAAGCTGCTGGTCATTCTTGGCAAAAAAGGCACTTGCCACACTGACACAAAATGTCATAGTCTGCGTGTTAGAATGCCGGCCCAAGTTCAACATCATTCCATGAGTCCGGCAGTGCCGAAATCTTTCAAGTTGTGCTTCGCCATAGGCTCAAGCCCAAATACCTATCCACAGTGATTTCACCATATGATTTTGAAGATCTTTGAAGTGTATACGAGTACTTGCAAATCTTTAGCCGGTAGTTGGGGACACTGCCCCATAGCACCCGTGGCCTCAGAATCGTCTTAGAGGTGTTGTGTTTGGCGATGTTTTCTTTCCCTGCGGGGATGTATTGCTAAGAGCCAAGCGGTAGCCCATAGTTTTCCCGCAAAGTGAGCAGAGCCCACATTTGGGCACTCGGTGAATTTCGAGCAGTTGCAATTCCAAGCGTGACTCGCGCGATGTCGTCCAGAGGCCCCGGCTCGCTACCTCATTGGCTTGTTCCACTGCAGCTTTGCCGCCTCTCATGACCACGCTATGTGACCACTAAAAGGGTAGCTCGGGGTGCCTTTCCCAGTCGCGCGGCCACTTTCGGAGACAGGCTTTTTGAACGTATAACGTATGAGAAGAGCTGTTGTATGGTACCTTTCCGGCTTTTGGAGACACACTTTTCGAACGTAACGAGGAGAGCCCCGGATGCCTTTGCCAATCGCTTGAGAAAAGATGTCGCACATCACGCTCACGAATGACCAAACGGCTTCAAAATCGAAGGCGGGTCTTTAACACGAAGGCTTGAGAGGTATCCCAGTTCCGCGCACGAGGGTTTTGGCGGCAGCTCTTGTGTTGTTACAACTTGGCTCACTTCATATGCTCCCTCACGAAGTGCCAAGTTTGTACAATATACTGGATGCGCTATATATCACGCTGTCAGTTCAGAAACAGAACAATGCAAGCTTGCAACTCTCGAAGCTGAATTGACCTGGCAGCGCGGCACTTGATTCAAAACAACGCAAGACTATCCAAAGTGACGTGTCGTGACCCTTGGCGGTGACCCAGTTCATTGCTGAAAGATGTCGGAAGAGTGAGGTGACCCAGAAGCCCCTCGACTTTCATTTCACCCTAGTCGCGTGCAGGGTGGTGTGCAAGAGCAATCAAGAGTCTAGTCAGAAACGTGCCAGGACTCGTTGCGCTGGCCCTTTTGGCCTGGATCGGCTCAGTGACTTGCCATTTCGCTTGGCCCGGTTCAGGTTTCGAATTGTCGCTTTTTTTGGTTGCCTCTTGCTTTACGTTGATGAAGTGAATTATAGGTATTGCTGGTTAGTGCTGGGAAGCCTCAGCATCCTTGGTGCAAGGTTGCTGGAGTGCCTCCGAGCTGCTTGCGACATGGTATTGGTGCCCCGCTGGCAAGTGCAGAAAGGGAAGTCACTGCTTGCATGCGTATCTTGTCGCATTTTTTTCTGCCCGAGGGAGGTTGCGTCAAGCAGGGGCGGCAAAGGTGCGAATTTTTGGTCTGAGGCTATGACGATCCCGAGCATCCTTTTCACAATGGTGGATATGTGACCGATGCAGCGATTTGCCAGACACATGGCTGCATGGCAACGGTCTTCAACTTACGGCATCCTTGCTTCTGGCTGAGTTTGTGTGAGCATAGCTTTATGCGCAGCTTCTAACTGGTTCAGACAGTATCCAATTCATTTTACCTGCGCAGGAGCATGGTCACTTTTTGTCAGCGTGCAGGATTGAGCAGGCAGAGAGAAAACACCACCAGTTTGCCTGTCATGCAGACAATGCACCCAGAAATGCAAGCGTCGAGCACCCTGAGGTTCTCTTGTAATTTGATGTCAGGCCGTATATGTGAGCTCCCCCCTCCTCACTGCAGAAACGAGTTAACAACCTCAAAAGCGGGCACCGTTGCGACTCCGGCAACCTCCGAACGCACACATACATTATTACATAAACACATATATATATATATACACATAGATATATACATATATATGGTACCACCTCCCCCCCCCAAAATTACACCAGCCTCGACCCCAAACAGCCAAAAAGCATGACAGGTCTGTACAACCCAAAAAAGGCTTGTCTCCTTCATGTACGGTGCGAAATTGAGTAGCTTATGTGAGCAACACACAGTTACAATCAGTCTATGTATGTCCCTGTAGGAAGTCCCCGAAGAGGACACATCGGGTCCATCCATCTCCTTGACGCCGGGTAAAAGCATGGATGTTGGTCATCGACTTCGAGGAGGAAAATGCCATGTCAATGCCATGTTCGAGAGTGAAGGCCCCAGGCATTCGGGGTGAATCAACCTAACGCCTGGCACTCTCATGGCTCCTTGCACGTGCAACTTGCACTTGCAATGACTCTCGTGACTCCTTGCACTTGCAACTTGCACTTGCAATGACTCTCATGACTCCTTGCACTTGCTACTTGCGCTTGCAATGACTCTCATGATGATGATGACTCTCATGATGATGACTCTCATGATGGTGATGATGGTGACTCTCATGATAACGACTCCTGCAATGACTTTCATGATGATGACTCCTTGCAATGACTTTCATAATGATGACTCCTTGAATGACACCTTGCAATGACTCTCATGAGAACAACTCAACTAATTCCAGTGGAAGAACCCTTGGCCATGCTTTCGGGAATATACTGTGACATCCGGCTGATTGCTTTGCTCAGGACACTGAGCTGCTTTTTGGAAGCCAGTGCCGCACTGTTTCTCAAGCGCAGGTTTGCATCCTTGCGGCGCATCAGCAGAGCCTTTTCGAGCATTAAATATGTAGACTGTTTTCGATAGACAAATACCGTGACATCGGCTGATACTGAGCTGCTTTGTGGAAGCCAGCGCCACACTTCTTGGCCAACTGCAGGTTTGCATCCTTGCATCAATCAGCAGAGCCCTCCAGTTTGTTCTATAAGCAAATGTACCGTGACATCCGCCTGATGGCTTTGCTCAGGATTCTGAGCTGCTTTTCGGAAGCCAGTGCTTCTAGCGCATCAGCAGAGCCCCGTCAAGCCTTGAATATGTACTTCTGTTCTCGGTAAACAAATACCGTGACATGCGCCTGATTGCTTTGCTCAGGATTCTGAGCTGCTTTTTGGAAGCCAGTGCCTCACTTCTTGGCCAACCGCAGGTTTGCATCCTTGTGGCACATCAGCAGAGCCCTGTCGAGCCTTTGATGTGTCTGTTTTCTCGGTAAACAAATATACTGGGACATCCGGCTGATTGCTGCTCAGAATACTGAGCTGCTTTTTGGAAGCCAGCGCCGCGCTCCTTGGCCAAGTGCAGGTTTGCATCCTTGCGGCGCATCAGCAGAGCCCAGCCAAGTGGCCTTCACTGACTCGACAGCGGAGACACACTTAGCGCTGTCGGACTTCTGGCGGGGACAAGGTGTAAAAAGCGGCTTCACATGTTTTCCTGTTGGCATTTCTCCGTTTGGTGCCTTCTAACATCTTCTAACAAGAAAATCGCTTGGATCCTGAAAGCATGCGTGACGACCCCGGAGCCAGCGTCACATCGCAGAGACTGCGAGACACAGGGAGACAAGCGGGAGACGATCCCAGAGCCCGCAGAAACTGATGCGGGAGACACGACCCCGGTGCCAATGTCACAGCATCTGGCATCCGATCGCAGAGGCTGGGAGACAAGCGACAAGCGGGAGCATCTGGCATCCAGCGTCGCAGCATCTAGCATCCGACCGCAAAGACTGATGAGACTGGGAGACACAGGGAGACAAGCGGGACCGGCGTCAGAGCATCTGGCATCTGACCGTAGAGACTGGGAGACACAGGGAGACAAGCGGGAGACACGAACCCGGAGCCATGTCACAGCATCGCAGAGACTGCGAGACACAGGGAGACAAGCCCCGGAGCCAGCGTCACAGCATCTGGCATCTGGCCGCAGACGCAGGGAGACGAGACTGGGAGACAAGGGCACAAGCGGGAGACAAGACCCCAGAGCCGGCATCACAGCATCTGGCAACAGGGAGACAAGCAGGAAACACGAGAGACACAGGGAGACAAGCGGGAGACACACAGCGTCGCAGCATCTGGGGAGCCAGCGTCACAGCATGGCATCCGACCGCAGAGACTGGGAGACAAGCGACAAGCGGCGGGAGACATCAGAGACATACGCCAAAAAAAACCGGAGCCAGCGTCACAGCATCTGGCATCCGACCGCAGAGACTGGCAAACGAGACTGGGAGACACAGGGAGACAAGTGCGAGACACGACCCCGGAGAGTCACAGCATCTGGCATCTGACCTGGGAGACACAGGGAGACAAGCGGGGAAACGACCCCGGAGCCGGCGTCAGAGCATCTGGCCTCTGACCGCAGAAACTGAGGGAGACAAGCGGGAGACACAACCCTGCGACATCTGGCCTCCAGACACAGGGAGACAAGCGGGAGACACGACCCCGGAGCCATCAGGGAGTCACAGCATCTGGCCTCTGACCGCAGAAACTGGGAGACACGAGACAAGCGGGGGAGACACGACCCCGGAGCCAGCGTCACAGCATCTGGCATCTGATCGCAGAGACTGGGAGACAGTACAGGGAGACAAGCAGGAAACACGAGAGACACAGGGAGACAAGCGGGAGACACGACCCCGGAGCCAGCGTCACAGCATTTGGCATCTGACCAGAGAGACTGGGAGACAGGAAGGCAAGCGGAAAACAGGACCCCGGAACCAAGTTAGAACCCCAATGCTTCGCTGTTTGTGGAAAAAACCACGCCCCGAGATAATTTGACGGTACTTACCGTACGGCTGGGTAATTTCACAAACTTTTCAGGCACCCCCTATTTTTGTCCCCAATTGGGGCCCCTATCCCAGGACTTGAGTCTTGAATCCACGAGCTACCTGGATGAAAGCGATTTAAAACGTTTTGGGGGCATTCAAGATCTAGAGTGATAGGAATCTTGAATCTTGAATATTAGATCTTAGATCTTAGATTCAAACATGCTTTAAAGCCCTTTAAAGCGTTTTTGGGGCCCGATACTGGATTCAAGATTCAAGAGCCATAGTCCTGATAATATTGAATGTTAGATCCGAAAGTGCTTCAAAGCGCCGAAAAGCTTCTGCGTTCAGTCATTCATGTCTGGTTATGCGCTTGATCATTATTTGGGAGTTGTGTGCGGTAAATGCAGTTGATAGTTCAGCACACGGGCAATGGTCAGGGCATGTAAGATGTGAGCAGATGTGTTGTTTGGTGTTGGCCAGGGTTTGTGAGCTGATAGGCGAAGACGAAGGATATTTGCAGATGAGTTGGGATGAGAGATGGAAGATGCGTAGCAGGTATTGGCACGGGTTTGTACGCTGATTTTCGAAGAGGATTTGCACATCAATTGAGACGAGAAATCGAAGATGCGTAGGCGAAGCAGAAGACGCATTGTATGCTTTATTGTTGATATCCTCGCGCCGGTACTCTCACAGAGATGTTTTACAGTCACTTGGACAAGGATGACAGATATAGTGAAGACAGGACTTTTGACAATGCAAAAATGGCATGGATGCATTTTAGCAGTAAAACATGAGAGGACGTCACGACTTCCGTGAAAGCAGATGTTTCTATTCTCGGCGGACACGCTTCCAAAAGTTTCAGAGATGTATGTATGAAATATTATTGCTTAGACCCTGTGTATGGCGACGCTTTACCTAGCTTCGATTTTGCACTTTACCTACTTTTGCTTCCGGTGCTACGTTCAAATTGGCTTGTGTTGAAATAAGCCTAGTTCATGACCAGAAGATGCATGATACGATTGAACAATAATCTACAGGAGGAAAGCCACAAACATGTTTCAGACAATAGAAGCAAATACTGTTCCAATGGGTGGCAAAGGCTGAATGAATCATTTGCGCGAGTCTGCCATCATTGCAAAAATGAGCCCACATCCATCTAAAATGACTTGACTTCCCTTAGTTAAGCAGCAGGTGCGTATGTTTTCCTCTCTTTTCTTGGGGGGGGGGATTGCATGTATATATATATATAAGTATCTGTGTGCGCACATGCTGCACCATGCATACCAGGGGAACTGCGGAACATTCTGAGGAGAACCTGCCAATCCACGTGGTATTGCGACGCAAGGTTGCAAAAAGCGTGGTGATGTGACAAGGTGTTGGCTCAGCACTTGCAACTGCAATGCATCCTAGGAGAGTTTTACCTACTTCAGCGACTCCCAGGTGACTCATTTTGCGCAGAGCATGCAGATGGTTTCAGAGTCGCGTGGGCCACCCACCTTGGCAGAACACCGCATGCCTCATTCGGCAGAATACCTGACATAGGCCTGCTGGCTTCGAGGGAATCGTGCCGTTGCCAAGACTGTGGCACATGCCATGAGTGGCCCCAGATTCTGTGGGGTGCCTTTGGTGCAGAATTCGGACTTTTGCTGATCGCAAGTTGTAAGCAATGTTAATGGTGGCTATGTGCTGACTCATGGGCGATTCGGGGGCAAAATAGTGCGGAAAAATGTCTCTACACAGACCAGTTTGTTTGGCTATTTGTAATTACGTCTGGTAGGGCGAAAAGAAGCACACGCACACAGACGCAATTCAGCACAAGCAGCAACATCATGGCATGCAAAGTGCGCCCTTGCCACTGGGAGCTGAGGACAGTCCAGATTCGCAAGCACAGGCCACCTGGAGATATTTGCGGCTTGTGGGGACAGCATTTCTGAAACAATCCCAGATTAATTACAGAGGATACTACGCATGGCCAGGCAACTTATCCAGCAGATCAGACTTCGCCAGCAGATCAGGGCTCGATCAGTTCGCCTGCAGATCAGAGTTTGGCGGCAGATCAGATTAGTCACTTGGCCAACTCCTACTGCACAAGCGTGAACCAAGCTGAGAGCGCTGCTTGCCAAGGTGATGTGCAGATTCGGCAAGACTTTCAGCTCAAGACCAGCCAGCAAGCTGAGCTTAATTTGGTGATGCCCGTCCCTTGGTTTGCATGAAAATCCTGCAAAGGTGGACACAGTAAACGGCGTCTAGAACGCCAATAAACTCCATTTGACATTTCCGATTTGACCAAGCCATGTTGTCCTGACGCTGATTGTAGTGGCAAGTATGCAGATGAAGCATTGACAGTTTCATCGACGCACAACGTCTATGCCACAATGCCAGCTCATGTCCTGCAGGTTTGCGCCACAGTCGGGGTGAAGTACGTGGACCCGGACCACAAAGTCCTAAATGGGGGCTATGTGGACAACGCTCAGCACTGCCAGGTATCTTGTAGCCTTCTTCCGTTCTGCAAGACGTTTACCTTCTACCCCAAGACAAAGGCTTGCTGGTTGCTTGGCAGCTTGGCCTCTCCCCGCAATGAGCCTTGGCTGGTGGGGCAGTGTGGCCGAGCTTCGAGGCTTGAGAGCGGCCAAACATCCGACAGAGGCCAGTGCTGCCATGTCACCTGTGGGGCGGACCCGTTTGATTGCAGCAGGAGCTGTGCTTCACTGGCTCATCCAAGGACTCAGCAGCCATCAGCGGCCCCCAGGCCTGCAGTCAATGGACTGGTCGGGATGCCGAGGCGCATGGAGCTTTCCGCAAACCATTCAAGGTTGCTTGCAAGGACATCAAGGTTTGCAGCCCTTCTCTTCACAGACCGGCTTTGCCGCACGTGAATGATTCAATATTTTGCTATGCCCTGCTTTGATGCCTGCCACTTCGGCAACAACATGCAAGGTGCAAAAGCATTTGGTAGCAATTGCACCATGGGTTGGGTTGCTTCCTAGCTTCCTTGCCGGGTTTCTCCTTGAGCTCCTTTCCTGGCTCCGTCAGCATGTATCACATGCTCAGATCCCATCCCTGCAGGCAGCACAATTCATTAAGGAGAGCGTGATGCAGGCAGCGAAGGTGTCTGGAGGCTTGGACGCATGTAAAAATGACCACAGACTTGGCATGAAGGACCAAAGCTACATAGAACTGGCTTTGCACCTTGTCTGGGTAGAGGCGCGCTGGATGAAATTGCAGCGGCTGCTCTCAAAGCAGCCCGCGAGTCAACGCTCGCGCCTGCGAATCAGGTGGCGGAGGCCCGTTGGCAGAAGGGACATGGTTCGCAGCAGGGGAATGAGACTAGATGAGACTATGGCGAGATATCCAGAGTTTGCAGAGTTTGCCTACATGAGACTAGATGGCCAGAGTTCGCCTAGCATGTTTGGGGCTGGCATCGCGGTCCTGATCTTGCTAGCCCTGTTGCAGGCTGGCCAGCAAAATTTAAACGCAGACGAAGAGAGAAGTCCTGGCGCACTATTTTGGCCTTTGCAAGGCTTTTGAACATCCCATGAACCCTTGAACCCCGACTTCTAGAGCTGGAGTTCCCGGCCCGAGACAGGGTATGGGGGTGGAGATGCGGCCACTGGTTGGTGGCAGCGAGCCAACCCGAGTTATGCGATGTGCTTCTAGAGCCACGGGATAATTCAGCTTACCTGACCTCAGCCAAGAGGTCAAAGTGAGATCTGTATGCGCCTTGCAGTCTTGTCTGCCAGGCTGCGCTGGCCTTTGGTGAAGCTATTGCGACCTTGATGCCAGATAGCAGTATCTCGGAGCAGGCGCGGTGTGGGGAGAGCTCGCCGTGCGTTTGTTTTTTTTCTCGGTGCCTACTCAGGTGTGTGCCCCAAGGCAAACATGGCATGGAACGTCATATGCAGAGCGGGAAGGGGTAAGGGCAAACGGGCTTGAGTTGCGGTTGCTTTGCGGATGCTGCTTCTAGACTGGAGGGCGGTGAAAAGACAGCAGAAGAGTGAGAGAGAAGAGAGAGAAGAGAGCGAGAACTGAAGCCTTCCCAGACCAGGCGGCCGCAGCGGCGAAAGCTGCTCAATCTGCTGCATTGGGTGCTGGGATGACAGCAGCAGAAACAGCTGAACTGGCCGCAGCCAGTCGGCATCAAGGAGAATCAACTGGAAGGTGACACTGGGCTGGCAATCGTTCTGGTCAAGCAGGATATGCTTGATGCTTGTACAGGGACTTCTGCCGACCGCTGTTTATCCTCTCAGTGCAATGGAGGGCTGTCGTTGTTCCGGCACACGTCCTAAAGTCCTAAAGTCCTAAAGCAGAAGGATGCGAAAGGGACACAGCATATGCACACAGAGCATATGCAGCATATCTTAGGTACAGGCGGCAGCCCACACCGCAGCTACCTATGCCAAGTCAGCTGGCATGGGCCTGCAGGCACGGTGGCGGTGGGTGTCCTGAAGAAAGCATTCTAAAATGGGAATGATCGATGAGCTCAGCGTACAAGAGGTGCAAGAGGAAACGCCCTCCCCCCAACCTGACGTTGCTTCACTGGGTTGACGCTCTTCAGGGAGGTGAGGACCTCCAGGGGCGGCGCTAGGGCAATTCTTCCTGACGAGCACGCCCTCCCCTGCCCTCCCAGACGTCAGGGCGACAGTGCCCACCTTCAAGTCATTCTCAGCTGCGTGGCCTTCTGCGGCCCCTCCGCCTTGCTTCGTAGCCATACATTGCTCACTTTGCTTCTTGTCTTGGCCCCTGCGGCCTTCTGTGGCCGGTGTGGCCTTACTTTGCTAACTTTGCTTCCTTTCTTGGCCGCTTTCTGTGGCCTCCACGTGGCTTCGCTTTGCTTCTTGCTTTGGCGCCGGATTCTCTTTCGGGACTTCGGCCTTGGCTCCTGCAAAGCCCTCTTTGGCCCCCGTGTGGCCACTTTGCATTTCTTTGCTTCCGCTTTTTGACCTTGCTTCCTGTCTTAGCCCCGTCATGGCCTTCTGTGGCCTCCGCGTGGCCTTCCTGCGCTTCCTGTCTTGGTCCTTGCATGGCCTTCCGCGGTTTGAGCGCCTTACTTTGTCTTGCTTTGCTTGTTGCTTTAGCTCCTGCGCGGCCTTCCGTGGCCCGGCGCGGCCTTACTTTCCTTCCTGTTTTCCGCACTTGTGCCGCCCTTGGGTTGGCCCAGTCACCCATGGTGTGGCCTGTGTCTTGCCTTGGCTGCACTTGGTTTCCGGCCGGCTTGAACCCCGTGGGGGGAAGCATGGGCCTGGCCTCGCTAACATGACCTGGCCAGCAACCCACCGACCGACCGACCGACCCACCCACCCACCTACCAACCAACCAATTTATTAATCAACCGAGGAAACGCCCTTCTAGCCTGACCGTTGGGGCAGGTGTCGATCATCGATGCACCTTTCAATATGGGGAATTTGTGTGCACACCACCTTGATGTTGATTTATGCCGGTGCCTGGATACAACATGTCACGTAACCGATGCAACGCTGGCCTCCCATATCCCCAACATATCAACCGGTGCTGGGGCAGGAGCAGCTTTCGGCTACCCAAGATGCTGCCAGCAAGGCAGCGGCCCAGATGGGCATGGACTCCCAAGATCAAGCAGACGCTGAGCTTGAGTCGAGGAGCTTGCAACGTGTTGCTAGCGTTTGGTACAATTGCAAGAACAACAACGTCTCGGGTGTACTATGCATGTGTGTGTGTGTTGACATGTTCCGGTCACATCATTGTAACGCAATGATAGGCATTTGTTACAGGCATGTCTTACGGAGTATGCTGGCACATCTTACTTCTCTACAGACATGTACGAAGCTTGCATCACCTCAGCAGCACTTTGTTTCTCAAACAGATTCTCCACACCAAGCGGTCTAGTTGGCTAGGCAGAGTTTCAGCAGCAGCATAACCTTGCTTGCGCATGCGTTGGTTTCCTGTGCCGTCTTCTATCATAGAATTCACGTATCAGGATAGCCAGGCTTGCACGGTGGGCCAGCTGAATGCCAAAGGCCCAGACGGGGTTCGTTGTGAAACGCAGAAGTAAAATGAGGTGAAGCACGTAGGGGCGGTCTCTGAAGGGTCTACTGCGCGAGGAATCACCTGCATCGTGTAAGGCCGGTGATTGGAGAGCGAAAGGGCTGCAAAAACAAAGGCCATAGCCAAGCTGTTTGAGCACATTGTGCTCCGCGAAACACCAGGCCATCGAAACGAAGGGGAAAGGCCGGCGATTGCATGAAGTCCAGACACTTTATTCTGAGCACCCCCAGATTCAGCAAAGATGGCTCCATTTGTACACGCAGCTAGACGTTTGTTTTTTTTGGTGTGCGTGCGTGCCTGCGGTTGGCAACTTTTGCGCAGACTCAGGAAGCAGCAGTGGCGGCAGTCGCACAAGTAGCCGGGAGAGCTGCTTCCAAGGCAGGCAAGCCGGAGCAGGAGATCCAGTCTGAATGCGCAGTTGCGGGCTTGTGTGCAGCTCACGCGGCTTGCCTAGGAGCAGCTCCGGGAAGTTGCAGCTGCTGCCAGTGCCACTGCAGCCGCGCTTGGCTTGGACATTGCCCCTGAGAACACTGGCTCGGTGCCCAAGACGAACAAGGCCATGGCTTGGATTCTTTGGTAGCGGGAAGCTCGTGCTCACTGGCAACTCAAGCCTCCGCAGGCCATCAAGGCAGCTGCCTTTGCGAGCCTTAGAGGCAGAGACTGGTACTTGTGCAGCCACTGGCAATGGCCACCCTAGCATGCACTGCCAGCTTTTTCAGTACGCTTTTGCTTGCAACCGGGGCGCGCTTTTGCGCAACAGAGCTGTGCCAAGGACGTCACTGCCCAAATGCGCGCTGATGGGAGTTGTCTTCACAGACAAAGATCATTCGGACGTGAACGGTGGATTCCCGCTGACCGCGAATGAGTGCCAGACCAACTGCCACAATGTATGGTACTGCGAGGCATTCAGCTACGACGTGCGCACCAAGGCAAGACCGCCGAGCTACTCTTTCGGCTGGTCACCGGGTCCGTGGGTCGTTTGCTTGCTTGCATTGTTTGCAACCCCTGTCAGATTAGCCATGCCAAAACAGGTTTCAAAATGGCGCATCAAATGCTGCCCGTTTGGCACCAGGCATGCTGGCTGCTGGGCAGCAACTCTGTGGCAACAGACGCAGGGCGCGACACGGTGAGCGGCCCTGGGCGCTGTGGTGAGCGGATGGTTTTGAAGTTCGACTCACGGCCTTTAAGTTATGACTTGAAGCCTAGATGTTGTGCCTGACGGCCAATGGCAGCAGATAGTTGCGCTGCTAGATGTTTGCACGTTATGTGTGATCAGCGCCATCTAAGGATGACCAGAACGCCAAGATGAAAACCTTGTGGGTGGTTGCCAAGCAGGCCGCTTGGGCTGTCAAGTGTTTGCTTTTTTGCCTCACAGAGTCTTGGCACATGTGGGCTGCGTTCATGTATCGTGCCGTTTTGCAAAAAGACACATGATGGTGTTGTAGTTTCATGCTTTCGGCAGGCCAGCAGAGCAGCTTCAAAGGCTGGCAAGGGCTTGGCTGCCCAGTTTGCAGCAGCCGAAGATGCCATGAAGATGATTGCAGCTCAGCAAGCTAAGCCACACGTCGGCCATGGGGTTTTTGCCGCGGGCGTGTTCGGAGTAGAATGCCAGGCCTTACCTTCAGTTGGAATGCAGCTAAGGGCACGGATCTGCCGAGGGATGATGCAGTTCAGACTCTTGACAACGCTCATGGCGGCATTTGCTTTTTTGGCCTTCTGTAGCGGTTTTTATTGTTGTGCAGCCAGCGAGTTGAGCGAGTTGGATTGTTTGCAATCTGCAGGATGGCTTCCATAGCAGTGGCAGAATGCGCGGCATTCAAGCAAGAGGAGGCCCGGAAGCCCGAAGAAACATATATATGTTTGAAGCAAGACTTCGGCGGCACGGTTAGGTTGAGCTTGTCCCTACACGCACTGATGTCTAAGGCGGGACTCGCAGTCCAGGACCAGATCGATGCGGGGTCCCAGCGTGCTGCTGAAGCTGCTGCAGAAAAAGGAATGACACAACAGGACTTCCAGCGTTCGAGATTGCCATGCTCTGCCAAGCCCAGATTCATTTAAGCTGTTGCCTTGGAGAGGAGCAGTGGCAACAGGCTGTCACTTCGGCAGCATCCCTGGCATTGAAGCGAGTATCGCTGAAAGAGAAGAGCAGGAGCTGCGTGCAGTGCTGGTCAGATTGAATAGCAAACTAACACAAGGCAGACATAGCTAGTTTGAATGATGGCAGAACGAGTTGTGACGACTTGAGACTTGGGCCATCATTTGTTTGAATTATGTATCGAGGAAATGTTCGGCGGCCACTCAAGACACAGCATCATTGGACCCCCCATTCCTTTCCGGTGCGGACTTGTACGGGAAGCCTGCCAACGGGTTCGACCCTTTGCCGGGTTCCCGGAAAGTCCCGACACATTGTGCTACAGGTGTCGCAACTGGACATTCCAAGGACAAGTGCACCTATACGCAAATGTACACGGCATATGCGCACATGCATGCATACGAACATACGTTCTCAAGGTCCTTGTAAGCAGCTTAGTATTCGGCGACCATCGGTGTTGGTTGAGGCACCTCCGTGAACGATTCGCGATGGAGTTGGGCAAGTATTTGTTGGTTTCGCAAAATATTTTGCGTAATTTCATCTTGTAAATCAATGAGATGTGAAAGCTGAAAAGTTGTGCGGAAGTGCATTTCATGTACTGCCCTTGTACTGAGAAGGGACGTTCCTGCTGGAGTTGCGGAAGCGCGTTTCGCGCATTGCACTGTGCCGAAAAGTTGTGATAATCTGACTTTAGGTAAACGTGCACGGCAATCGGTTTCAAGACAACAAAGTTTAGAACAACCACCACATATTGGTAAACGGGTACTGCCTTTTATGTACATGTACTGGGTCGAAGGTGAGCCCAACAAGTTTTCTGGAAGTCTTGGCTTTGGGATCCCGGATGTAGATGTTTGAATTCGAGATTCGAAGTGTGTACCCTTGCATTTAGTTTTCCAAATCTAGAGATTGGACAAATAGACCTATAGTCCAGGAGTCCAAGTTTCTTCCAAATGTTTGTTGAGGTCTTGATTGGCTGGCTTCAGTCCTAAATATTTGCATCCTATCCGAAATCCCGGGAGTTGGCTTTAGATCAGGATTGGGGGGTTCGATATTCCATTGAACCGATTTGAAATACATGGGTTCTTGGACCCAGGCCTTGCTCAGTATAACTTCAGATTGTCTCTATTTGGATGTTGAACCTATCTCCTTAAATGTGTGCAGGTATGTTGAATCTAGCTTCATGCTTGGAGCTAGATGCCATTGGTTACATCGGAATGTGCAAAAGAGAAACTATCACGAATGTGCTTTGGACGGTAGAATTGAAAGGTGCTGTATGAGGCAAGTTAGCCTTTACCCATTGAACTGGTAGGGGATGGCGCGAAAGGGCTACCGCATCAATCAGAATGTCAAGCATTGCGCTTGCGCACTTGCGCTGGATAGGCCAAAGCACTGTGCGGGACTTGTATTTCATATCCTCAGGTAAACTGCGCACCACAAGCAAACAAAATCAGAGACCGTGAGCCCTTAGCAGGAAAACAAACGATCTGGAAATCTACCGTTTCAAAATGAACCAGGATCCTTAGCCGTAGTCCCAGGTTGCTCCTGGAAAGCATGATTCAACTTGGAAGCAAAGCAGCGGCTGTCTTCTGAAGAGCGAGAGGTTGGATGACTTTAAATGGGTGGAGGGATTTTCTAGGGCGCTCGAAAATGCACATGTGTGTGCATATAAGTACATTCAGATCAGTTATATGAGTTATATGAGTTATATGCGTATAGAACTGCAGGGCATACCCATGACTGAACCGCATGCCCCTGGATTTCGACAGGCTGGAGCAGGACGCGGCTGTGCAAACTGCTGCCCGGCAAGCGGCAGATAGATCCAACCTGCCAGAAGATGTCAAAACAGCACAAGTAGCCGAGGCCGGTCATCAGAACATCCGATTGAGTTGGCATTCTGCAATTTCTTGCTGTAACTATTTCGGCATCCCTCGAGCCATTTGAAGACTGGCGCCGCGTTTGCATGAAACTCTGCGCCCGCGGAAAGGGGGCAATGTGGCTTGTAGCCCTGGTTGCTGCCAGGCAGTGGACCAAGCCAACAAGTTCGTGGGCTGGATGTTTTTGGAACCTGCTCTCGCAAAGGAGGAAGGGCCGTTGGCTGTGCTCATTGCGCCTCCTCGTGCGTTCATGCAGGTTTGTTTCCAGCAGGTGCAACATCCAAACAGTAGGGCGTGGTAGCGGTTCGGCTAGAATCCATTGCCTGCCTTCATGGTCTCCCATTTGCTTTTTGTGCAAAGCCCTTCTCAGATGGCACCTTGCCAAACAGTGCCTTACGCCTCCTTGAAAGCCAGGTTTCAAAGCAAGGAGACGTGGCTCACATTGGAGGCGCGCTTTGACAGCTTCCTTACATGTTCAACCAGCTTGGCTTGAGATATCCGTAAGCTGCAGTAGCAATCGCCGGTCACTGGAGGTGCTGAAGGTGCTGAAGGACAAGCCGAGACCAATGCGCGGGCAGCTGCTGCCCAACCAGCTCTACGGGAGCGATTTGTCAGTGACTGCTGTGGTAGCATTGGGCAACTGAACGGGTCATACCGGGCCGCTTGTTTTCCGAGCCACCACCGTCAGGGAATGGGCCACTAGGCAGAGACGAAAGAAACCCATAAATCGTTCATGCTACAACAGGAGGCCGAAGGTCATTCAGCTTTGCCGTGCATGAAACAGGGATGCATCATGGTTTTGGATGGCAAGCTTTCTACAGGGTTAAAAAACGGGGCCTGCTGAACAACGAGGTCGTTCACGTACTTGATTGCTGATAAGGTCTTGTCTGCTTTCCTTCGCCTAGATGCTAGGTTCCTTTCCGAGGGTGCTGCATCATGCATAGGGTTGTGTTGCGACCAGGAGCAACCAGTTTACACCTTCGGTGCGACTCAGTTGCACCATGTTGACTGAGCAGAAGCCGCTTGAGCAAGTCCATGCTCAGCTTGATGAGTGGAGCACAAATTGCAAAGGCACCAGCTGCCAAGCTGGGCAGCGCTCCCGCGGACCAAGAAGGACTGCACATATGGCAAGCCTCACTGCCATGGAGCCCCCCCAGAGAGAGAGAGAGAGAGAGAGAGAGAGAGAGCGAGAGGACCATAAAATAGAGCATTATTCACCAGCTGCAGTCAAAGCAGTCCGACAGATCAAGATGTCCTGCTAGCCGATCATTCTGCATCAGCTTTGTTTGCTGCTTCCTGAACAGGAGGCAATGCGCAGAGTTCGGGGCGGCTGCTTTGGTGCCCTGGATGCACTGAACAAATGATTGCACACGCTAGGCAAGCTTGGCGAGAGTGAAGGGCCGACACATACAACTGGTTTGGCTGCCACGGTCGTCAGCTTCAACGTGACCTCATGATGCATGGCCCTGGCTGGCCTCTTCGTCATGAGAAACCAAGAGCACAATCACGTCACACAGCTTGCCTTTGCGTGCCACAAAAGCCGAGCTGGCTGCCATACTCTTCCGAACTGGCAGCGGAGCTGGTCCCCATCAGCCGCTTGTTCTAGCATCTCCCACTGCAGTGGGGCATGGAGTGGCTGACGAAAGAGAACTGGGTGTGACCAATCCGCGCGGCTTCTGGTTCTGCGCCCTTGGGCGCGTGAGGAAGTCATCCGCGAACCATCGGGAGCCACGGTCAACATGGCGTGGCCTCCATGGCCTTTGCTGTCACTGCCGACCGATGCTGCCGGGCGCCGGCGCCCGGCCGGTGCCCATGTCGGCGCCGCGGGCGGTCGTTCTTTTGCGCTGCGCGCGGCGCAAGAAGCGAATTGCATTCCTCACGACCTCACGAGCAACGTCATGGCATCAGAAGCTCTGGGTATGCTCTTTGCAGACTTGTGACGATTTAGCCACCGCTAGCCTGAGGTATTTGAGCATCGCGTGCTTTGTTTTATTTGCCGTCCTGCTGGTGGTTATCCCAGTGGCTGATGTTATTAAGACGAAAAGACGACTCTTGTCTGCACTCTCGCAGGGGCCTGGCAAGCAGTCATTGGCTGCGCTTCATTTCCAAACATCACAAGGTGATCAGGGCAACTTTCTGACTGATTGATGCGCTTTTGGCTGGGGCGTGTGCACCCACACACATTGTGCGTGGGTGGACGGGTGGGTGGACGGGTGGGTGGACGGGTGGGTGGGGGCAATGGCGGGCTGCGCGCATAGTGTACGAACGTGCGCATGTGCGCATGTGCGCGTGTGCGCGTGTGCTCTGTGTGTGTGTGTGTGTGTGTGTGTGTGTGTGTGTGTGTGTGTGTGTGTGTGTGTGTGTGTGTGTGTGTGTGTGTGTGTGTGTGTGTGTGTGTGTGTGTGTGTGTGTGTGTGTGTGTGTGTGTGTGTGTGTGTGTGTGTGTGTGTGTGTGTGTGTGTGTGTGTGTGTGTGTGTGTGTGTGTGTGTGTGTGTGTGTGTGTGTGTGTGTGTGTGTGTGTGTGTGTGGTGTGTGTGTGTGTGTGTGTGTGTGTGTGTGTGTGTGTGTGTGTGTGTGTGTGTGTGTGTGTGTGTGTGTGTGTGTGTGTGTGTGTTTGTGTTTGTGTTTGTGTTTGTGTTTGTGTTTGTGTTTGTGTTTCTGTGTTTCTGTGTTTCTGTGTTTCTGTGTTTCTGTGTTTGTGCTTGTTTGTGCGTGTTTGCGCGTGTGTGCGTGCGTGCGTGCGTGCGTGCGTGCGTGCGTGCGTGCGTGCGTGGGTGTGTGTGTGTGTGGGTGCGTGCGTGTGCGTGTGCGTGCGCGTGCGCGTGTGCGTGTGCGTGTGCGTGTGCGTGTGCGTGTGCGTGTGCGTGTGTGTGTGTGTGCGGAGTGGCAGAATACCCTGTCACCACAATTTCTTACGCAGGGGGCGTGGCGGTCTCCTCGTAGCCACGCCAACGAAGCTATCGAGGATGACTGGATGCATCAAGGGACGCCTTGATGTGTACCGGCACCCGTTTTGCAAATGTCTAATTTGGCCCCCTTGGTTGCGGCGCTGTTTGTGCTTCCTGTTCTTTCGGGTAACGTGTTCGCTGCTAGTCGGAAACCAAGTGACTGTGAGCCGAAACTCATTGTACTCGAGACTTATCAGTTGTACTCGAGACTCATCAGTTGTACTCGAGACTCATCAGTTGTACTCGAAAGATCAGCATCCTCCCTTGGGAGTTGAAGTGTGGCTACCCCAGTCTTGGGGGACCCTCGGGTGTACCCATCGTGTGACCCCGGGCCGGTTCGCCGGAAAATGTGACCTCAACGTTCTTATCATATTTCAGCGGAATTTCACGTTTAAGCAGGAACGAGGTTTCACTAAAGGGAAGACAGCCGTCAGATCATAGCTAAGTCTCACAATTGCTGCTGTTGGCTGCATGACCGCGTGTTGATCTGTGCTTGGCTTGAACTTGCGTTGACTTGCATCTTGTCGGATTCGCTTTTCTCAAGATTGAGTTGTTGCGGTTTTGAGTCTGTTGTGCCACCATGTCTCGACGGGATGATCGTGACAGATCTAGAACTCGGCGCAGACGGGATAGGAGCCCATCTTCACATCCTCGTAAAGCACGCAGACGTGATCACGATGGCAACCTGGTCTCGGACGGCATGGATTGGAACAACCTGGTCTGCTGGCAACACAATCCGAGCTACAACGCATCCAATGCCTTTCCAATGACGCAGAGCAACTACCAACAGAATTCCTCCTCATCGCCACTCCATCAGCATCCTCCGGTCAACTACATGATGCCGTTTCCTCCGGAACCTACACCGGCGAAGACTGTGAAGCCCATGATGCCACCACCTGGCCACGCACCAGTTCATCCTTCCCAGACTACGACATCGCCTGGATACCCAGCCACGTTGCCAGTGCAGCCCCAGAAAGCATGGCCTACTCCACCAGACGAGTGGCAACCTGGTGACGGCGTGTTGGACATCAACCAGCTCTGCTCTTTCAGCCTGCCCATGACGGTTGCCAACACCCCACACAATAATCTACGTGATATGTCTGGCATGGACATCCGGGATGTTCGCCTGGTTCAGGTCATTCACGGTGGCATTTCTAACTGGCTACTGAGACCATTTGCTCACGGGAGATTCGTGGCGTGGGAAGGATTTCGCACCCGCACCGAGGCCCTGCTCTGGAGCACCTGTTCAAAGTTGCTACGTCGATCTCAGCCGCTCAACCTGCTTACCCTGGAAAAGGACCTTGCCAACTCGCTCGGACTCAACATTGACGACTTCAATCAGCGGACCAAGGTTCAGAAGATGACATGCTCAAGAAGTACAACAATCTCCAACGAGCTCACGAGTTGCTCCAGGCACAGTACTCGGCGTCACAGCGAACGTCGCCTCCTTCTACGATGCCCTCTCAGAAAGATGATGCAGAGCTGGTCACACCGCCTCCGGTCAATCACTCACAGTCTTCGACGCCAACCAGCTCGCTGCCTACGGTAAGTGCGGCGGCCCTTGACGGCAGGTCTTTTGACGTTCCATCTCAACAGCAACCTCGGATCATACAATCTCTTCACGGACTGTCGCCCCCGCCTTCCAAGCCATCGACACCTCAGTTGCTCACCATGCGCAGCACGCACGAAGACATCATCGAGCACTATACCTGGACCAGTGATCAACCGCGATTGTACCTCAAGCAGGCTCCTACGACTACTACCGTGCCATAGCTGGTCAAGTGGGCTAATCACTCGCCCCGTCTCAACGGCAACAAGTCTTTAGAACCTATGGCGGCCCAGCTCTTGCAGGCGCGTCAACGTTTGCCAAAAGGTGATGCACCTACGTTTGCTGCAATGGCCTCTTTGTGGGGACTGGAGCCCGGCTACACCACCAAGCTCTCGGACAAAGCGCTGTGCCTCCTCGTCGTGGCGGCCCGACTCCTCAACGGGTAAAATGTTTCTGCCTTTCGAGTATTAGCCCGGAGTGGCGATTGTGCGGCATAGTGATGAGCGGTTGAAAACTTGTCTGCGCTTAACTTGGGGCTTGGCTTGTCTTGTGCGTTGCTTGTTTTGCCTTGTCTTGTGTGTTGCTTGTCACTTGTTGATTCTTGAATGCATGCCGCCGCCACCTTGCAGCTACCCTTGGTTAGACATTCATCATGTGGACTACACAGTGGGATATTTGAGGACGTTGCACAATGGCACTCCTTGGCTACCTTTCTGGACACATTAACGTTTTTCTCTGCGTGTTGGCGGTACTGCTTTCCTGGACTTCAACTACCATCGGTTCCTCTGGATGAGTATGAATCGATTCAGCATTTACCTCAGTTGGACCTCATCCTTGAAGTGCTCACCATGGTCCGGATTGCACTTCAAATTCCGATGCATTCCATGTCACGCTCCCGTCACGCTGTGGCCAACAGGTATGAGCTTCACAGATGTCGGATCACTTCGTATCTGCTGATTTGCTTCTTACAGCGACTAATTTCACACCACCATGGGTACATTCCACCGTTCTTTGAGGTCCTTCACTTCTACAAGACGTCATTGCTGTGTGAAGTCGTGCACTCCACCTTCGCTGATACGAAACACCTTAAATCCCTAAGAACTCGCTTCCCGGACCTGTATGACTTCATTCAAGATCCGGGCCACCACCAACAACCTTGCGTCTACATCAGACTCTCACCGTGGCATAGTCCGTACTACATTGGTGCTACTGAGCAGGATGTTCTTCGCAGAGAACACTCCCGCTGCCGCAAATATCTACAGCTTCTGCGGGGACAACATGCCTTCTTTGAACCTGCGCTTCACTATTGGAAGCGATCCAACAACTACTGGCTTTTCTGTGCAATTCCAGTTGAGATCAAACGTCCCTCTTCCTCAGTTTGTATCCAGGAAAGCAAATGGCAGCACATGCTACGTCCTCATCTAAATGCACCCTGGGTACACAGACTTCTTCGGAAGATTGGTTTCCGTGAACATCTAGTTGATTTTCGTCGTCATTCGTTGTCCTCACCTACGTCATTATCTCTTCACAAGCGGTTTCGGCGACGACTCCATCCTGATCTTCATCGTCAACTGCGGCCAGAGATGTTGGATGACATACAAGCGCACTATTCCACTCTTTATCGGCTGGGATCTAACACTGGTGCGTCGTTTCAATCCATGCGCGATCTTTTCCGGCGGCCTTTCCATCCACCCAGCTCTACTATTTCCTGCGACTTTCTACCTTTGTCAACGAGCCTTTTCGCTCCAAGGCTCAGAAGCTCCTTGCCCAGGTCTTGCGTAAGCGACAACTCCAGGTACCAACTACCATGACACAACTACTTCTTCCACCTCTACACGTTCGAAATTGGAAGGCTCAGCTTGGAACATAGTTGCAGCGTTGGGTGGCATCTCACCGTGACCTCTTTCCTTCCTTATTTCTTCCAAAGATCCGGGTTGTGGAAACTCGCAGCGCCACCTTGGGATTCCGGATCTACAACTGCCGCAAGTGGCAGCGCAGCTGGACTCCTGATACGTCGTTCCCGTGTCGCTGCGTAGACATGGACGACCGCACCACCTATCGCGCACATACCCATGCAGTGATTTTGGATGACTTTTCACGCATCAACGCTGATATTGATCCTGACATCATGGCAGCATCCATGAAGGATCAGTATTTCGGTGATGTCGACAAACTTCAACAACGCTTCGACATGCAGCTTCGTAAGCTGGCTCGCCGATGGCACGTACAAAGATCCAGCTTCTCTATTGACTATCAACCTGTTCTGACGAAGTTGATTGATGAACATCGCTTCAACGTCCAAGACCGTGCTCACTGGACCTCCGCGTCATTGCAACGCACCACTCGTTCCCTGTCATCGTGGGTTGTAATTCCAGCGGATCACTTCCCTTCACGTGCTCATGTGATTTGCCCATCGTTGTTTGCCATGCTGATGCACAAGACCTTTTGCACAGGTGAAGTCTTTTCACTGTGCCGTGAGTCTGCGGCATCTTTTCGCGCCGAAGTTGTCACTATGGTACCTGCTCGCCTACAACACCGTTATGCTTGGG